CACACACACACACACACACACACACACACACACACACACACTTTAAGAATTGTTTCTATCCAGATTGACTAATTTCACACGTTTTACAATACTATCCATTTAATAAATATTTAATGTCTCCCGCTTGCCAAACACTATAAGATACAACTATTTATGAGAGACAGTCTAAGCAGAGATTTAATGTCTTACATATTCTGCAACATCAATAAAACAGACATTCTATATACCAAAGCTGAGCAGCTTGGCCTTAATATATACTCTTTTGAGCACATCTGCTGTTACTTGCTATGGAGTTAGAACCAACTCATAGCTGACACTCGAATGGGTTTTCAGAGGTTATAATCTTTCTCCTTCAGTCCAGCTGGTAGATTCAAACCACGTATCTTGGAGCTGGCAGCAAAGGCCAAAAAACCACAACCTTCTGAAAAGGGAGAAACCAGGCATTTCAGCCCTCGGCGCTCAGAAGGTTGTGTTTTTGAGGTCACTCTCTAAGAAAGAGAGCCACTTTTCAATTTTCGACTTCAAAGTGTTATACAACAATGTCATTATGACATTCTAGAGCAGGCACTTTGGAGGATTTTACAGGCACTTTGTGTATTTTACAAGCATGTCTGACCAACAACCCACACTAAAACCAAGAGAACATTTAGTTTCTGCTGTCTATGGGCTTTGGTATTCCAAAGAAGAGACTAGATAGAAGTCAGAAGCAGAACGGATAGAAGTTGGTAAGTTTTAGGCATTCCTGTTACGGAACAACTGGCTAGAAATGATAGGGTAATTATAAGAATTAAATTATATATTATATCCAAGATAGACTACAAAGCAGTAGTAAATTTTTTATTTTAAACTAATTCTAGACAGCCTGAGGATGGTCACATGCTACCTCCTGGAGTTTTACTTCAGATCAAATATTGTATCTAAAACTCAGGGTGCTTCATTGATGCCTTTGAATCATGGTGGCTGGTGAAGAATAATGTACGTACCATGGAATGTCAAAAGAGCAAACAAATATGTCTTGAAAATAATAGCCAGAATGCTCACATATTTTGGACATGTAATCCGAAGGGACCAAACCCCAGAGAGGAACATCATGCTTGGCAAAGTAGCTCAAAAACTCTTCACTGCCTTTGAGTAAGAAGGGACTCATAGTTGATGACCCAGTGGATTTTCAGAGGGACTACAGGAGATGGCCCATCTTTCTCCTGTGGAGCAGCTGGTTGATTAGAACTGCCCCCGATTTTGGGTTAGCAATGCAGATTCCCATGTACTAGGCCGCCAGAGAAGGTCAGCAAAAAAGATGCAGTGGCAGCAATTGTGAGGATGGCTCAGGACCAATGAGTGTTTCATTCTCTTGTGTATAAGGTCCTTATGAATCAGAACAGATTCAACCACACAACATGGCATCAGATGCAATCTCTATAGATTTTTTTAATTTAAACCTCAGGTGGCCTAGTCTGTAGGGATCTGTAGCAACCCAAAGACCAAGCCTCTCTGGTGTTTGAATGTACCATACACTCTGTAAGAGAAAAATCCACAATCTTTTCTCATGTGATTTACAGCCTCATGAAAATCTGCTGGAAGGTCAGCTGTGAGTTAGTTTGTTTAATACCAAAAAGCTTCAATTAGGTGGCAAAGGCAACCTGGAGAAAATAAGTTAACTATATTCTTCCCTTAACTTTCTAAGAATTGCTGTCTTTCTGTCACCTAACATTTATTTTTCCTTTGTAGGTATGAACTCTCAATCTGTTACTTAGTTTTGGGAGACCAAAGGTGTATATAATAATGAAAAGGTAAAAAGGAACATCCGGCCAAAATCAGAAAAAAAAATAATACTGAAGAGCGAGAGTCTCTGTTGTGTTTTGTTAATGTTCCACTTAACGTTTCCCACGTACTCGTAAGTATTGCATTTAACTGAAAATTTGCAGAACGGATGGGGATATCAATCAAATAACTACTGGCTGTAGAAGCTTTTCCAACATATAATAACGGAATTTGAAGGATGAATTTTATATTGCTATAACTCAGTCATTTCTAGTGATGGCTTTGACAAGTTGTTTCTTTTAGCTAAGACAGTGTTGTTTTATTATTTCATGTAAAAATGAACTCATTGGGTAATTTGTCTTCTAGTTTATTTCTGTTCTCAAAAGGGGTTAGCTGTGCTTTCTTTTTGATGAACACTTGACCCCATCTTGAAGAACTTCATCAGAATCTCCATTTGTGTTTGCATATTCAAAATGTAAGAAAGATCACAGATAACTCCAGTCTGAACACCAAATTTCACACCTACATGTCAATGGTTATCTTTAAGAAACTGTTTTTTCTTGAAAGCCACTAGAAATTCTTTTTTTCACTTTTAGTTTTCCATCAAAATATTCTTCTGCTTACAAAGGCCTGAGATGTAAGAGGTACTAAGTGGTAAAATATTGACTATTTTTACTTCACCCCAATTTAATTTTGTTTCTTTGATGAGTCAAAAGGATTTCCTTATAAACATGGTTATAGATTTTTAATACCTTCGGGGACAACTATAATTAAATGAATTTGTCTTCCATATTTATAGATCTGAGGCCTTTCCTTCCTCCATAGTGTCTCTTCCATTGTTACTTGTGTTTTACTACGTGCTCTGGTTTAGGAGGCTACATGGAGAGATAGCAGACTCATCTGCTAAAAAGGAGGAACTGAGACAATACTTAGCTTTTATTTAATGTGTAATATGGAAAGATAAAAAAGTATGTACACATTCTTTAAACTATAACCTTTTAAAAAAATCTCCCTTAATTTTGGTGAAAATACATAAAACAAAGCCTACACTTAATTCACCAGTTTCTAGCTACAATTTCTATCTACAGTTTGGTTCAACGACCAAAAGTTAGAGTACTTCACATTGTGTTACGGGTCTTACTAGCTCCATCTGTATTGTTTCACCACCACTAACTTAAGACTTTCTGCTCTTTAAAATGTCCATCTGTGCTTTAGGGTTATTGTTGTCAAAATGACCTCATACAGGAAAAGATTCTTTATTAAGCTAAACATTTAGCTTTTAAATAATGAGTATAAGATAGCACTAGTTGATGGTTTTAAAACTGTTTCCAGCAAATAGATGTAAGGGGCTCACCTGATATCACTGGATCCAGTAAATCTGTTTTCCATGAAAATTTGATATTCTGTTTCCTCTTTGTCCACTGGGTTTCCGTAGCTGTAAATTTTAACAAGAGAAAACAACCTCATCTTACTCCCATGGAGTGGCTGGTGAATTTGAACTGCTGACCTTTGGGTTAGCAGATCCATACATAATCCACCATGCCACCAGGTTTCCTAAATCTTAAAAATCCATAAACTCAAGAGGAAGAGAATGAAGACAGTTTTACCTGAGCATTCTTTGTAGTTTATGGGGTGTCATTCCACATCCATCATCGGTAAAGGTCAAACATGTTTTATTATTTATCTCCTCAACATCGATGAAGACCATTCTGGCAGCTACATCTGGATCTACAGCATTATCTGCACAAGATAAAATCTGTGATAGTAGATCTTTTCTGAATCCAACTGTCATCCCCCACCCTCTGCAAAAGAGAGGTTTCTTATGAAGCCTTTTCTATACTGAAAGTGAAATGGCATAAAAAAAGCAATTACTATTTACTTATGTGGAAAATATTTTCCGAGTGCTTCCAGTTTCAAAAAAGAATCTGCCAGATGATACCAAACTAACACATTTGTTGTGTTGGGTATGTAGTACCATCAAGTTAGAACTGACCCTTAGCTGGCCCTCCAACAGGTTTTCAGAGGCAAGTGCACGGGAGGAAATTGCCCATCTTTCTCCTGTGGAGCAGCTAGTGGATTCCAACCGCATGCCTTGGGGCTAGCAGCACAGCTTCTTACCACTAGGCCACCAGAGCTCCCTAAAATAACACTAACATATAGTGCTCATAGACAGTTTAAAGTTTTCGCTGATTGATGCTGAGTACGGATGCCAGAGAAGGTGCCTGGCCACACCAAACAATCTCAAGGCTTGGCCCCAAGTCTATGCTGTCTCTTTGATGACTTGAATGTTGGTTTCTCTTTTAAATTTTTTTTTAAAAACCCAGGTTTCTTTTGAAAAGGGAGCTTTGGTGGGGTAATCCTTAGGGAGGTTCAAATCCACCAGCCGCTCCAAAGGAGAAAGATGGGTTATCTCTTTTCCATTTCGATTTACAGCCTCCAAAAAGTCCACTGGAGGGTCAATTATGAGTCTGTTCTAGCTCCACAGCAATGGTGAGTAGCAGTGTAGGTCTTTCATAAAATAGAAGTGGCAGAAAGCAAACTTGTAAAAAAGTTATCTGAGTGTGGGGGGGGGAAATTATTGAATACCATTAATATCACATGGCAGTAAAATCTTGCTGAAATTAATTTTTTTTAAAAAAAAAACAAACCCCAAACCAAAACAAAGATGGCTGGAACAGTACATCAACAAGAAACTGCCAGAAATTCAAGCTGGATTTAGAAGAGGCAGTGGAATGAGGGATACCATTGCTGATGGCATGCGGATCTTGGCTGAAAGCAGAGAACAGCAAAAGATACTTACTTGTGTTTTATTGACCATACAAAGGCATCTAACTGTGTGGATTATAACAAATTTTAGCTAACACTGAGAACAACGGGAAGCCTAGAACACTTAATTGTGTTCATACAAAATCTATACCTAGACCAGGAAGCAGAGAAAAAGCATGGTTTAAGATCATGATTGGTGTGCACCAGGATTGTATTCTTTCTTCATATGTATTTAAGCTGCATGCTGAGCAAATAATTTGAGAAGCTGGACTATATGAAGAAGAATGTTGCATCAGAATTGGAGGAAGACTCAATACCCTTCCTTATGCAGATAATACAACCTTGCTTGCAGAAAGTGAAGAGGATTGTCTATGTAGATTACAACTCAGTATCAAGAAAATAAAAATCCTCACCACTGCACCATTAGGCAACAACATTATAGATGGAGAAAAGACTGACGTTATCAACTATTTCATGTTACTTGGCTCCATAAATACCCATGGCAGCAGTGTTGTTGTTGTTGTTATGTGCCGTCGAGTCGCTTGCGACTCATAGCGACCCTATGTACAACAGCCCTAAACTCTGCTCTGTCCTGTGCCAATCGCACCATCTCCGATACACCCATCCTGACTACCCCAGTCACTGAATAAATCCACCTCACAGAGGGCCTTCCTCTCCTGCGCTGTCCCTCCACCCTTCCAAGCATGATGTCCCTCTCTAAGGACCGGTCCCTCCTTAAAACAGATCCAAAGTATAAGGACCGGTCCCTCCTTAAAACATATCCAAAGTATGTTAGACGGAGCCTCAGAATCCTTGCTCCAAGGAGCCACCCGGTTTAACCCTTTCCAGGACAAATCTGTTTATTTTCCTAGCAGTCCATGGTATTCTCAATACTCTTCTCCAGCACCATAGCTCAAAGGCATCAATTCTCCTTCTATCCTCCTTAGTCATTGTCCAACTCTCTGATGCATAACAAGTGATTGCGAAGACCATGGCCTGTATCAGACGCACCTTAGTCTCCAGAGAGACACCATTGCTCTTCAGTACTTTGGAGAGGTCCCTAACAGCAGACTTTCCCATGGCAATACGTCTTTTAATTTCCTGGCTACTGGTGCCAAGAGTGTTGACTGTGGAGCTAAGGAAGCTAAAGCTACGAACAATCTCAATCTCTTCACCATCCATCCTGATGCTGCCAATTAGTCCAGTGGTGAGAATCTTTGTCTTCTTGACATTGAGCCTCAATCCATATTGGAGGCTGCAGTTCTTGACCCTCTGCAGCAGGTGCTTCAGGTCCTCTTCAGTTTCAGCAAGCAGGGTTGTGTCATCTGCATAACGCAGATTGTTGATAAATTGTCCACCAATCTTGACCCCACATTCCTCGTCATAGAGCCGAGACTCCCATATAATCTGTTCTGCATACAGGTTAAGTAGTCAAGAAAATAAAAGACATGTTGTACTGGGAAAATCCGCTGTCAAGGACCTTTCCAAAGTGCTAAAGAGCAACTATGTCCGTTTAAAGACTAAAGTGCCAATGTCTTTTAAGTTGCTCCCTGCGCATCTGAAAGTTGGATAATGAGTTAGGATGACCAAAAAAGAACCAAAGCTTTTTGAACTGTATTGCTACAGAAGAATAATGAATATCCCATGGATTGCCAAAAGCACTAACATAAATATGTCTTGGAGAAAGTGAAAACATCCAGGGTGCTCTTTAGAGACAAGGATCTTGGACCTTCATCTCAAATACTTTGGCTATGTTGTCAGGAAGGACCAGTCCTTGGCAAAAGGTACCATGCTATTTAAAAGGGTCAGTGAAAAGAGAGGCTGACCTTCAAGGAGAGACAGGCACAGTGACTGTAGCAATTGGGCATGACAGAGATTGAGAGGATGGTACAGGATCTAGAGAAGAGGTGTAAAGTTCCCATCTGTTGTTTATAGGGTAACTCTGAGTAGTAGTTAACTTGATGGCATCTAACAACAATATATCTGTAGTATATTAAAACCTCTAGTTTGGGTTTAGGGTCTCCAAATCCTATTGTACTTAATTCCTCTCAGAAGGAATTATTGCCCCAGAAGGGGGATAGGAGTAATTATAATGCACTTAGCAGGTTACTGGTAACAATGGCAGGTGGAGTGAGAAAGTAAATTTCTAGATTATATACAATGACTGATCTGCAACCAGTCTTTCTCCTCTTAAATTGTATCAGCTGTGGGAAAAGCCCTAAGTATCAAGAATTTTGTTCCTTTTTCTGGTAGTTTTTCTTTAAGCCACTTTACTGCTTGTGCACCTTCAGTAAAAAGTGGCTAAGGAGAAAAGCTGAACCTCATTTGGCTACAAATAGTTGCGTAGCACACATAACAGCTGATTTGTGATTGTTTTGTTTTCTACTTTTAAGACATCAACTCCAGTTAAAGAACACAGATAGTATCACCATCCCACTTATAGTCTAAGAGGCACTGAAAGAGTTGTTGTTGTTCTTATATGCCGTTGAGTCGCCTCCGACTCATAGTGATCCTATATACAAGAGCCCTAAACCGTGCTCTATCCTGTGCCAACCTCATTGTCTCTGACACTCCTATCACCATTACCCCAGTCACTGAATCAATCCATCTCATCAAGGGTCTCCCTCTCTTGCGTTGTCCCTCCACCCTCCCAAGCATGACGTCTCTCTCCAAGGACTGGTCCCCCTTTGCAACATGTCCAAAGTATGTCAGACGAAGCCTCAGAATCCTTGTCTCCAAGGAGCAGCCTGGTTTAACCCTCTCCAGGATGAACCTGTTTGTTCTCCTAGCAGTCCTGAAAGAGTAGGAAGTTAAAATCACAACATCTCAGTGTCTGCCTAACTCCCAGTTAAGGCAGCTAGTGTACTTAGAGGGGGGATTAACCATTTAGGTACTCAGCAATTGTCTTAAAGGTGAGCTTATATACCCCTTTCTACAAAAGAGAGAACAGAGGAAAAAGTAGAGGAAAACCTAGAAAATGTCATGATTCCTCTTAAGTCAGGTCTTCATAAAGGATTAGTCACTAACCCTCCAAGGTCTAACAAATCACCATGTTCATAACCTTAAAAGGGGCACTGTCTAGAGACTCCACCTTTTTGATAGGTTCAAGTCTACATACATTTCAATCTAAATGTGTAGCTCAAAAGATTCATTAGATACAGGAAATGGGAAAGAGCTGGTGTAAAAAAAAAGTATATAAACTTTCTAAGTAAACCAGTACAAAAGAAAAAAAAATTATTTTTTTAAAAAGATCCATTAGGGTTGACTGGTCCAAGTGGAAAGGCCACCTGTACAAGTCTGCTAGATACGTTTCCTTAAGTACTCCTCTTTCCATTAACTCTTTAACCAAGGCACTGATTTTTCCCTTCTACCTCCCTCCTTTGCGCTGGCATTGTACCCTGCTCCATATAATGAAGCTCCATTAAGAGAGCCGAGTGAGGTCATATACTTGTCTCACTATCACTATTCTAATTGTGGGATTTCTCCAACAGGAACGTCCTTTACAGATTATCACTGATGGCAGTGACACAGCATTACTGTAACCTGACAGTCTTAATAACAGGGAGGTATCACCAACAGCATCAGAAAGAAGACGCTTAATACAGTCAATCTTTTAGGTCCAGGTGGGACCGAAGACCTGTGTATCGTAGCCTTTTTACTATAAGACAAATAGGCTTACTTTTTGCAGAGGTTACAAGTTTGGCACGCAATGAGTGCTTTATCAGAAATACAGGGTTTTTACTTCGCAAGAGTAAAAAAGAAAAAAGCAAGTGTGTGATCTTTTTCTCTTTTTCTGCCAGAAGGATTTATCATTGTGATGCTGCCCACATTGATTCAAGAAACCTTACTTGGCAAGCAGGCTCTGAATTGTGTTGGGACTTATCGGTCACTCCCGCTGGCAGGCAGAGCCAATGCTAGTGAGCCCGATGCCTTTAGCTTATCAACCACAGAGCATCGTTTCTACAAGTTTCCTA